GAGAAATTTAAAAACGCAGCAATCATCGGTCATTTTGGATTTCTGTTTGAGGAAAACTAGGGTAGGGAAATAAAATGCTTATCTTGACCTCGTTGTTTTCGAAAAGCTCCGTTTTCAAATGTTTTTTGCCCACACTTAAACACAAAGCCAGCGTTTTCAAATTCCTCCGGTTTGAAGAGCGATTTTCGAAAAGTTCCATTTTCGCCGTGACGGATTAGTGTGGACGGAAGGCCTAACCGTAGAAGTAAAGTTGTGTTTTCAAATTTCTCTGGCGTAGTGTGGACGTGGAATCAAAACCTGGTTAATGTTCAGAGAGTTTATTACATAATATGATGAAACTTCCATCATAAATATTCTTGTTCTTCGGTCATTTCAATTTCAGAGGGAAAAGAAAACAAACAGCAGTTACAAACATTACAAATAGACAACGCATGGTCTAAAAAACTTAACTGGTCTTGACTGTATTAACTTGACGTTTCGTATGTTACAACATACACCTTCACAAGAGACGGTTATAACTATAACAAAAAGTTATAAATTTAAATTCAAAAATAAAGCCAGGCACTGGTGACAAGCTAAAAACGAAACGTCAAAACATGCGAAACATGCGTTGTCTATTTGTAATATTTGTAACCGCTGTTTGTTGCACTTTCCTTGTGAAACTTGGTTTCCTCGGCTTTGAATATCGAATTTGAACAAATCTTGAACACCTTCTGAAAATCAGCAACAGCAACAACAACAATTAGATGACAGAGAGTCAGGACCATTCATGAAGTAGAAAATCGAAGAAAGGAGTGAAAATATATATGCTTCTAGTTCACAAAGAACACTGAATGGCTCATTTTGTCTCACAGGTCTTATGGCTGACTCTTTGGGTTCCTACACGCACGCGTTTTACATGGCTGGCTCAGTAGTGATCGCTGGCGCATGTATTCCTTTCCTGTTGCTGTGTATGAAGAAAAGAGAGCCTGTGCGCGACCGCTGGGCTACCCTTGGTCCAAATGAAGAATTGGCCGAAGCACCTGATTGGAGGAGATCTATTGTTTACATGATTGAAGAAAAGGCCACGTGATCTGTGGGGCACACTTGCAAACATATTGAACAGCTCATTTATTTTATAAATCCGGCATGGTTATAGTTGCATTCAGACTTTATTCCAGACTTCGAACAGTCTTCACTGTGCCAATGCATATGTTTCTTTATTTTAAACTTTCCTTTAATTAGTAAGTGTTAAACTACAGGTTTTCACTTATATAAGATTCAAACTTTAATCTAAATCATTGTAGTCAAAGGCCATTTTTGACAAAAAACAACAACAACAGCCAATGAAGGTTAAGTACGCTTGTTCTTTAGATTTCCATTGGAGTTACTTTGTTTAATGGTAACTTTTTAAACTTTTTAGAATATTTTATTCAGTTTAAGTTTGTTTGATAAATACCTTATTGGTATTTATTTTCGCGGGCACTTAATTTCGCGAAAAAATGGTCGGCATATTTCGCGGGTCTTTATTTTCGCGATTTTTTGGGTGCAAAATTATTTTCTTAGGGAATTAATTTTCGCCAAAAATGAAAAAAAAAACAAAAAACAAAAAAAACACTTGTTATTTCGAGAATTTTATTAGTATTTTACACTTCTTATTGCTGAAAATCATCAGCTCATAACAAAACCAAAGTATAGAAACCGCATGGTGTACCATAGGCATAGAGACATTATGCTTATGCTTAACGTT